GGGGGGGGGGGGGGGGGGGGGGGGGGGGGGGGGGGGGATGAGGTGGGGGTGCGCAAGACTTACAATGTCCAAGCGGTTGCTACGCAGAGCGTTGGGAGAGCCGTTGTCTAAAATCGTGAATGCCCGACGATGCTACATGCTTAGCCACGGCCCCTGCGTGAAAATTTGTGCATGGGTTAACCACACATTCGTCGGATAATATGTCTATCGAGGCATTTATACAGTGGCGGATACAGAGGGGGGGGGGGGGGCGCGACCAATCCACCTATGGCCAGGTTAGCATTTCATGTATTTATTCAAAATAGCATTTTGCTTTAAATTTTATTGGAGCTAGTGAAATAGATACTCACGTTCTTACCCCAGACGAAAAATAAAAAAGGCGAAAGTACGAGGAAGGGTGATAGGCGGGGGAGGGGGGAGGTAATAACTTTAGAACCCATAAATTTTCCTGGGGGGGGCCCAGGAAAATTTATGTATCCGCCCCTGCATCTACAAATCTAATATATATAGTTCGTGACTGAGTGACTGACTGACGCTGCGCAGAGCGTTAATGGAGCCGCTGGCTGAATTCGTGAATATCGGAATATGCGACCAGTGGCGTAGCGAGGGGGGGGGGGGCTGGGGGGGGCTTCAGCACCCAAGTTTGATTCAAGCTCCCCCAACTCTGGTCGAAATGCGTCCGCCCCACCCTGACGAGGCGAAGTTACCCGCCCCAACGTTCCGCTTAGCCCCCCTATTGACGAAAACCTGACTACGCCACTGTATACGACAGACTTAGCCTCTCAATCTCGAGAACGGGATGGAGGTGGTGCTGCTTTATATCGTTGAGAGGACCGTTGAGTTTCAGGGCTGCTGCCTGAGCGTGGGAATTCCCGAGAAACAGTTCGTGGAAGACATCAGCTGATTGGGATGCCCGTCTCACGCTCGCACTTTCTCTCCGGCCTTCGCTACTGTCGGATCCGTTCTTGAGAATAGGAGAAAGAGTCATCGTACTGCATGCGCATCCCCCCCAAATCTAAGGGATGTTCACACCACGATGTGAGCTTTCATGCAGGAAACCCCACGCACAATATTTGGAGTTCCGTTTTCCTGCGTGCGAAGGAGAGTAACTCCTGGGGAGGATCTCCTAAGGATGAAAGCGACGGGATCTCATCAGTGTGGGACAAAACAGGATGGCTTATTCTTGGATCGCAAGGATGCTGCCGGTTGGGTCGTTTCCATCCCTATCCATATCCGTATATTTCATCCATAGTTTTGCAAGCAAAGTGATGGAAATGATCTTTATGGACGAAGCGGACAGGGTTGCTATCAATAGGGAAAAGTGCCGATAAACGTAAGGGCGAAGATCTCACCCCAGCGAGGAAGTCATCTTCCCTTTAGCGGGATGAAAAGGGACTACAAAAGTTGTACGTGGGGACACGTAAATAATAGGAAAGAGGGGGTGCTGCCTAAAGCGATGAGATGGCCACTGAGTTTTAGGACCGCCGAGCGAACTCGGGACTTCTTGCCGAAGGTAACGGAAGTTTTTTACGGATCAGCTATTCACCTATATTAACCGTTTATTATCTGCTCGATCGTGGTTTCCCTCGCTCAAGACATAGCAGGAATAACCTGTCTGGGAGCAGACATTAAGAAAGGAAAAGTGAGGGTCAACGAGGAAGAGGAATCGTGTCTCACGTTTTCCTATGAAGAGCAACGCGTCTCACTCGTTCTCTTCTTTCTTGTTTGATCGAGCTTTCTCTTTTGCGGAAAGGAGATTCATGACTGAGAGGGGAAGGATTGCCCATTGTCCACCTGAGGGGGCTAGTGAGGGCTCCTTTTTTCTCTATTGTTTTCAAGATTCAAGTTAGTGATATCAAAAGGTGACCTCACCCATTTCGATATCACGTGTCAAGGTCGAGTGTTCCTTAATTTTAGGGTAGGCGTAAACCCTCTTGAAGCTAAATATTTTTGTATTTTTTTTGTTGACTATCCTAGT